TCCCTTTTGTGGTCAGGCTGCCTTTTTTTCTTGCTTCCACCCCCCTTTCTTTCATTTTTTAATTTTTATTTTAACAAAGTAATAATAATAATAAATAAAATGTGCACTCCACCCCAAGACCATTCCATTGTAACTATCCAACCTCCCAAAATTGCAACACCTTTTGCAATAGTTTGACACCTTTCCGTTTTAACAGTACAAATTCTACAAATACCTTCCATATCTCCTCAAAATCATTTTTCCTGTATATTCTCCGTCTTACTTTAATAGCACATGTTAAATTATCATTAATAGCTATATCCCACAACTCTTTATACCATTCTTCCATTTTATATTCACCTTGCCCCTTCCACGTCCTAGCTATAATAACTCAATATATTTGTGAGCAAGTCTTTCATATCCTGCAAACCTTCCACCCCATCGTAAATTGATAACAGGGCTACCTCTGGACCTTCGGTCAGCTTTAAACTAGTTATCTGTTATATTTCTGTTATCTTCTTAAACACCCTTTGCCTAGAAAATTGTACATATTTACACACCCACCACATGTGAACATAAGTCCTGGCTTCCTGGCAGCCCCTCCAGCATAACACCAAGTATTCCTTGTTTATTTGATTTAATCTTACTGGTGTTAAATACCATCTCCATACTAACTTATAGTAATTTTATTTTATAGGCAACATTTTCAAAGTGTGTTTCTCCCATATTTCCCCCCAGCTTTGCCTATTTATCTGCTCTGGTCAGGCTGCTTTGTATGCTTGTGTAAATCCAGGCCATAATTCAGCATGTTCTGTTTATGTACCAGTAACAGTTGGTAATGATACATGTATTGGGAGATGACATTTGGTTTCAGTCTCATAAGAATTATGTGGGGAAGTAGTGTACTGTGTTTATACTAGAGTGTATTTCACTATGTAATATCTGGGTGGTCCTTTAAAAGGGAAGGAAACTGTAGCCTGTATTGTGCAGCTGTTTTTGAAGCAGGGCAACCTTTTGTCTTCTGGGGAAAACAGAAAGTGAAATAATTCAATTTTGAAATAAATTCAAGGAATGGCTTAACAAGTACTCAGAGATGGGGGGATTCTCATGTTAATGTGTATTCTGAAATAGTACAATATCAAGCCATATTACAGGCGTATGCAACTTGCTTGGTTATAAATAATGGCTTCTTGCAATCTCAACTTTTTCTGGATTGGCTCATAATACAGTGGTACCTTGGGTTATAAACACCTCAGGTTACAAACACTTCAGGTTACAGATTCCGCTAACCCGGAAGTAGTACCTCGGGTTAAGAACTTTACCTCAGGATGAGAACAGAAATCGTGTGGCAGCGGTGCGGCAGCAGCGGGAGGCCCCATTAGCTAAAGTGGTACCTCAGGTTAAGAACAGTTTCAGGTTAAGACCGGACCTCTGGAACAAATTAACTTTGTAACCAGAAGTACCACTGTACCTTTATATCATTCCAAACCCCTACATTCATACTATCAAATGTTTTGTTTTTATATCCTCTTATATAAATCTTATCTTGGCAACATTTTCTACCAATTTATTTCAAGTGAAGATAATTTAAACAAGTGGACTTCTATATAATTTTATTTCCTCATAACCAAATATGCATGAGAAGAGTCTGCCACATTTTAAGTTGAAAGCAAGCACAAGAAATTACAACCTAAGACCTAAATTTCTAGAATGTTAAAGCTAGGCTAAACTAGAGTTTTATCATGCAAATCCTTTCTCGACCATAATGTTGCCTGCTGATACTATAATCCATAAACCCGTGTGCTACTAGATGCAAACGAAGAGCCTGTCTTCTGTTTTGTTGTGCCAGTGCAATGCTGCAGTCAAAATTTATTCATAACACAATTGTTTTAGCTGTTACTCTGCAGCTTGGACAAAGCTTCAGTTCAAGCATGACAGTTTAAAACAGGAGGAAGATCTTTACTATTTAGTGTCAATCAATGTATACAGATTTCTGAGCAGGTTTTGATGTCAAATAGAAGTCTTAAGTAATTAATATTCACTTATCTGCTAATGTATTATTAGACAGTGGCAAAAGGTTTTTCTTACAGGGAGCCAGTTTATTTACTTATTTTTATGTGGAGGAGATGATGGCAGTAGTTATATCAGGGCTGAATGCAGTCCATTTGTATTTTTTTTAAGCCACAGATAGCAAAAGGAATAGGGTGGATACAAAATAGTTTATCTTTTGTTTTGTTACCCCCCTCCCTTTCTCCTCCTCTTTCTTTATTTCTTTGTTGTTCCCATGATTTATTTTCCTATTAGACTACTTTCATTAAAGGAAGTAATATAATTTAGGAGATCCCTGGCACCATTCTTTGACAAACAGGATCCATTGTGGAACAAAAGGAAGAAAGGGAACTGGTTTACCCATTTATTTCTGACAACATTGTGCTCACTAACCATGTCTGATATTTGAAAACATAATGGGGCTACTATGATTGAAAAGGGCAGAGCAGACGGTGATGGGAATTGCTTTGGGAAAAGGGCAGCATTGACCAAATAACTAATAACATCTAATAGCCTGCTTTTTGTTTATGGTTTAAAGAGTTCACAGAACTGTCTTCAAAGCAACTAACCAAGAGACAACCACTTCCCATCAGAGCCTCCTGAAGCTTTGTACATGGAAGTGAGGAACTTGAGGGGAAGAGAATGTCTAAATTTAGTCCCAACAATCTATTTTAAGTTACATTCAATATGTGGAAGGACATGAAAGCTATCTTAAAACTTGAAAAAGCATTTCATTTTTAATTTTTGTTGGTAATCTAGGAAAATGTTATGAAAACTAGAAATTTTCACAGACTGCATTCAAATGTAGAACTAAACTATGACTTCTTTAGATCAACTCCTATTAAAAGAGTGGCCACAGTGACTTCTGCAGTAGTGACTTGTCTATGGTTTTAGGTCAAACTTCCACATCCATTATAATAGGAGAAATGCATCACTCACATTGACATTATTATTTTTATATTTATTCTTTGTTGCATTTTAAAATTATTTTTATATTAAGTAAAGTGGTTACCTCTGAAAGTAAACCTTTCTTGAGCATAAAAGTGAAGTATATTGGTAATATCCAATGATGTCTCCCTGGTTCAACAGTGCTTGTGAAATGTAAACCCACTTGGTTCTCTTCTTCCAATGCCAGCTGCTTGCACTTCCAAAATCTGTTCTGGATCTTTCATTAACCCTCGAGAGCAGATGGGAGGTGGTATACAGGGAACTGCAGTCAGTTGGTTATTAATTTTGAGGTGAATTGGAAGCTACTTGTTTTTCCTTTCCCCCTTTATTGAAAAGAAACAAAGGAAAGAAGAAGAATGGTGAAAATGAGATATTGCATTACTTTCGGGATGTTTTTTGGTTGAGGTAGCAATATAATTATAGCACCAGTAGCATGTCTGAGATGTAAATGTTCTAGCAAGTCTCATCCAAGGGAGCAGCTGCATCAAAAGCTTCTCCCATTCCCTTTTATAAACTGGCAAATAAGCAGAAGTTCAATCAGCAGGCTGTTGAGAGGTGGGGGATAGTTTGATGTGATAACAGGGTATTCTCTGCCCACAGCACTTGCTAATTGAGTGCAAAGCCTTGTAAAGAACTGCACACAGCGCAAACTATTTGCCACGTGGACAGGTGGGAAACAGAAATGGGTACAGCCAGATGCTACCTGGTTTCTGTGTCTTGCACTGTGTTGAATGATAACACCTGAGGCCTGAGAAAGGTTTGTGCAGAAGCATAATGACTTCAGTTTTCGGACATCTGTATCACATAGTAGAATTTGGTATGGCGAATATATCCTCACATTAAGAATATATACATTCTACAAATCCTGTGAATTATTTTTATACTGTACTAACTTCTTTAGACCCAATATATACAGATCACATAGAAATCTATTCCAGGCAATATTCTCCCTTTTTCAGAACACATGACCACTGTTCCTTCTACACAGTCACATTTTTGCAATCACTCTGCAAATGATTTTCACAAAGTTCTATATTTTTAAGGGATCCAGAATGTCACTGGCTCTGTGAGTGCTATTCTTTTGGTTAGCCTGGCCATCAAAATTGTGCTCCTGAATCACCTTCAGTTTTCATTTTGGCTTAATCCACAGCAACAGTCAAGTGAAAATTCATTGCACTTCCCATGTGTTCCATTATACTATAAAATCAATTAGTTTACATGGAGATGCACTGATTCTCATTTAGTCTCAATTGGACCTCTAGCTGGAACTGTATACTGTAATAAGTTCAAATCATAGTTTGAGTCAGCCTTGTGAATAATTTTTACAGAGAGTGAGATGGAGAGTGCAACCTTTCTCTTGTTTCTTGATCTCTTTGTGGCTCTTGATGCCATTGACCATGGTATCCTTCTTGACTGGCTACATGGGAATTGGAATCCAGAGAATAGCATTGGGATAGTGCTTTTTGGCACCCTGGTAGTTATGGGTTATGTGTACCACAGGGCATAATTTTATCCCCAATGCTATTTAATATTTATATGAAGTTTCTGAGGTCATTAGGAGTTTGGGGCTCTGTTTCTTGATAACACTGTGCAGGTCCTAACTGGATGCAGTGATGGGGTATATGAGGGAAAATAAGCTGAGCTTGAATCCTGGCAAGATGGAGGCACTGTGGGTGAGTGGTTCTTTGGCCCAAGAGATTGATTAATTGCATGCCATAGACAGGGTTAGATTACCTCCGAAGGAGCAAGTACAGACTTGGGGGGGGGGGTGGTTCTGTAACCAACTCTATTAGTAGAGGCCCAGGTTGCCTCAGTGGCTTGAAATGCGTTTTACAAACTGTACCTGGTACAACAGGTCTGACCATTCCTGGATGAAAAGAGCTTGACCACAGTAGTTCATGCATTGTTGACTTCAAGTTTGGATTATTGTAGTGCACTCTATATGGGGCTTCCCTTCCACTTGAACCAGAAACTGCAGTTAGTACAGACCTTGTCAGCATATAATATCTATGCTCAGAGATCTGCACTTGCTGTGGAATCAATTTACTCCATATGTGCCTACTCAACCACTTTGATTTGTGGAACTGGTATTGTTACTGTTGCAACATAATACTCATTCTGTAGCTGTAAAAAATGGTGGCACCAACACTTTGCAATTCCCTGCCCATTGACATCAGGGAGGTGCCTTCACTGTGATTTTTGGGGGGTATCTGTTTAAAACATCTTTCTTTTGGCATGCAAAGCCAGACATGTAGATATTGGTGTGTTTTAATATTTTTTTACTGTTAGTTTTAATTATTTTTCAATGGTTTAAACTGGGGTTTTTTTTTAATTCATAATTGTAATATTTCTTGTAAACTGCTTAGAGGTTATTTTGTTAAATAAAAATAAATAAATAGAAGGGATCTACTGTTATTCCTATAGAAACCCCCAGTCAGACATTTGAGTCCTAGGGAGAAACAAAGCTAAATGAAGCTGAAGGAAACTGTAGTCTTTGAACACTTTTGAAGAGCTGAAGTGGAGTCTTCCTATGGCATCAGAATCCACTGTTAGCATAGGAAAGCAAATTTTTGCAATGAGAATGACATAAGATCCTTACTATTTACATCAAAAGCTGATGAAAATACGACTACTGGTGGTTATTTATTTATGGCTTCTGAATGAAGATTTTATTTTTGTGGCTGAAAATACTCTAGCGTCTATATTGGCCAGGGTTTTTTTTAGCCAGCAGGTGTGCTGCTTACTGATATGGGCATGGAATTTGATGATGAGTGTGCATTTGGGATTGCCACCGGTGAGAAGTCCTGGCTAATGAGGGCCTTTTTTCTACAAATCAATTAGCAGAGTACCATGCAGAAGACATATTCCCCCATCTGCTTATTACACTGCTAGACTGTGCTGTTTAGCACATTTGCTTTGGGGAGCCTTGGTTACATCTTAACAAGAGGATAATGAAAATTCTGTTCACAGGAAATTATGTTTTAGTGGGTTTGCACTGCTTCCACTTGCTGGCTCCCCCCCCCACTAAACTGTCCAATATTTTGAAGACGGATAAATGTTTTTTAAAAAAATATTCAATTTCACTTGCCTATGGAATTACCTTACCAACATAGTTAATACATTTCTGCAATAGACAAATGGAATTTGGTAGAGATAATTATAGGCACTAACTAAATAGAAAAGTTGGATAATTTTGTAATACTTATATGTTTCATTTTTTATTTACAGCAACTAGCCCAATATCTTTCTAAAATGTGTGTGTGTGCATCACACACATGATAAAGCATAGTGAAATGCCTTCTAATTCTTTCAGTTAAAACTACTTTTATGGTTTTATCATTCTTTCACATTTAAATTAGCAAATCCATTTGGCTTCCTTATTCTCCCTTTTTAAGAGGTATGGTTCTAATACTGTGAATTTTGAATACATTAAGACTATACAGCTCAATTCTGGTGCTTTGTATAAACTGTGTAGAATTCATTAATGTGCAGCTAATTTATCCACTGTTAACATTCAGTGATTTAGATTTTCCTTCCATTTTAGTTTTCCTGCATGTTGTTATGCATGTTGTTATGCCAAATACATTCTTCACAGTATCCTAATTAATAATAACCATTCAGTATTGATTTGAATGTATGGATTTTTGTTTCTGTTTACTTAATTCTAATAATTATTGTTCAGCTGAATTATATTTAAGATGCAAAATTAATCTTGAAGGCAATCTTTTCAGAAAACAATCTATGATTACATATCCAATTATCTACTCTGTATTTTTTAAAGTGGTTTGTTTATTTTTTTGATTCTCTTAACATTATTCTCAATACATTTGGATGCCTCTTGAAATATTGTCATCAGCTGGGGTGGCAGACTTGGTTGCTGGGTGGACACTGGGCAAACTTCTGAATCCAGACGGTGGAACAAAATGTCACTTTGGTGTGACTCTGCCCATTTTTTTGCCACCTCTCAGTATATCATGGGGACGCGGGTGGCACTGTGGGTTAAACCTCAGCGCCTAGGACTTGCCGATCACATGGTCGGCGGTTCAGATCCCTGCGGCGGGGTGCGCTCCCGTCGTTCGGTCCCAGCGCCTGCCAACCTAGCAGTTCGAAAGCACCCCCGGGTGCAAGTAGATAAATAGGGACCGCTTACCAGCGGGAAGGTAAACGGCGTTCCGTGTGCTGCGCTGGCTCGCCAGATGCAGCTTGTCACGCTGGCCACGTGTCTGCGGACAGCGCTGGCTCCCGGCCTATAGAGTGAGATGAGCGCACAACCCTAGGGTCTGTCAAGACTGGCCCGTATGGGCAGGGGTACCTTTACCTTTACCTTAATATATCATGGCCAAGCTCAGCACAAGTGTTCCTGTCAGGTACCATTTCGAAATGATGTTAGTTGTTCAGGGTGAACATGCGTCTCAATTCACACAACAAAAAGGCACACAACATTGTTTTGCTCTCACATTTTTGTACTAGAGAAACAATATGACAAGTTCAGTGCAAGTTGCTTTTATAGCTTTTATGTATGTATATTGTTTGCTTTTAAAATGCTTAAAAGTGGCTCTGCAATTTCATTTTACTCACTGGATAGATTAATCAATTTAATTAGCTAAAAAAAGGTATCCACACAGGGGGTGTGTGTGTGTATTCAAATTCAAGTGCTTATATAAACTGAAACTAGCAAGCACCATTCACCATTCCCTTTCTCTCACTTAGAATGGAGGGGATGCATTTTCTAAAATGGTGTGATATATGTGTTATCTTAAAAACTAAAGGTAGCATCTAGTTGTGGCAGTCATTCAACACCCATTTTTAGCATACCACAACAGCCAAATACAATAGTTGTTCTGAACACGTGAAGGTTGTTACACAACCCCTAGTGCAACCATTATTTTACTTCATGTCAGGTGAACTTTGTGTGCAGCCTGTAGTGCTGCAGCTCATACAACTTAAATGTTACTGTTTGTTGTAGATGCAGTGTATAAATCACATTTCTGGCTTGTTCTTATCAGTTCTAAGTAGTTCCAAATATACCGGTACTTTCTATGATGAAAAATTAAAATGGCACCTATAGACATATGCCAGAAACGGGTGTTCATACCAGTTTTCATGTATTCTTCACAGTTGCTCCATTTTTATATTTGTTTTCAGTGATTCGGGTAGGCTCATTTTCTGCCCTAGCACTGAAGGTCTGCAGGCTTTGCTTCACAGCCACTTAATTGCTTAGGTCTTTGTTCCTGCACCCAAGATTAGAGGTAACCATTGAATGTGAAGTCTTCAGTGCCCATTGATATACAGCATGCAGCCTTAGAAGTAGGATGAATTTGTCTGGCTTCATGGCTGCATGCTGTTCACTTCAATTTTCCATTAAATGGCAATTTAAAGACATGGCTCCAGGCCGATGCAGGAGAGAGTTATAAAAAGAGTTTCATTAACAGTTCAAAGTAACATAATTTGAAGCTGAGTAGGTTGTAGCCCACCCTATTTTTTGTCAGCATTTATCATTTCCATTGACTTGCAAATCAGAGCATATTTCATCTTGAGGAAAGGGATCCAGAGTTTAAGAATCTAGATTAAATTTATGTGTCTTGGGGCCAAGTCATTAAATAAAGGACAGGTGACAATTCAGGTATGCCTGTATATGTGTTTTTCTAAAAAATGAATACTGTATCAAGTTGGCATCACTCATGTCCAGCCGAGACAGATTCCCTACCTGATCACGTAGCGGACTATTGTTTATTATTGTTGTATATTTTTTATTTCTTCCCATGTGGCATCCCAAAGCAATTTACAATATAATAAAAACTCATATAAAACAGTTACAAACAAAAAAAACCAGTTAAAACAATTGTGTGTGGGGGGGGAATTCAGTGTCATACTCTTCCAGTCGTTCCTACTGTACAAACATTACTATCTTGCCCACATGCTGTTCTGGTCATTCTCCCAACACACACCATTTCAGGGGGGGAGGGGGAGAGGGGAAGCCCTTTTGCACAAGCAGAAGTCCTTGTGCAGGGCTTCCACTGACAGGGCTTATTAGGTGAATCTCGACCATTGCTATTTTAAAAGAAAGCAATTGTGTATAGAAAACAGTTTAAAACAGCAGCAGAAAATACATAATATCAATTCACATCCAGTACAGATATCAGCTGGGAAATCTCCAATTAGAAGGCTTATTGAAAAAGTAATGTATTTAGCAGGCACAGAAAAGACAGCAGAGAAGGTACTGGGAGGGTGTTACCACACTAAAATCCTGATTCTCACATCATGTAGAAGAGGCCTGCTGATAAGACAGATGCTTCCTCCTGCAGAGTGTAGTGATCAGTTGCGTATGTAAGCTATGAAGCAGTTCTTTTACATATCCTGGTTCCAAACCATATAATGCTTTGTTCAACACCAACACCTTGAACTTTTCCCAGTAACTGGTTGGTAGCCAGTGCAATTCTTTCAGTATTGATGCAACATGATGGCAATCGGGTGCCACCTTGAATAAAATATTGGGGGGCCCAGGTAAGCCCCACCCCACATAAGTGATCACAGGATGTGCATACACACCATTTGAATGGCAATGTTCGTCACCTTTGGGGGGCCCAGCCCCCTCAAATACTTTATTGAGAGGCGAAGACTCCTCAGCCCTTAGGTGTTTGCTCCTATGATGGTTGTATTCTGTCCCAGTGGGCAGTCCCAACTGCTGCATTTTGCAGTAGTTGCAGCTTCCAGGTCAGCCACGAGGTACCCGCACATGGAACATATGACAGTAAAGATGTAAGCAGGTATGAGGTGTGCACAAGATACATGCTAGGTTATCAAAGAAGAATAAAATGGTGGGTGCCCAATACATTTATTCATAATTTCCTTCTCTTTACTACTGCTTGTCACATTTTCAGTACAGTTGGAATGGAGTCGAGGATCCATATAGAAAGATCCTTGATGGGGCCTAGCATTTTGCTTTGGATCTGCCAGTTGTGTAAGAATAGCAGTTGATCCAAGCCCCATTTTCATTTTGCCCAGTGCACTAAATAGCAATGATATGCTGTAGCTAAACTTTCATGCATTTCTGGAGTACATTAGCTAATCTGACTAATGTTCTTTGGGGGGGGGAGAAGCATGTTCTTTTGAAGGAAAATTACAGGTTCCAGCAATTCCCTTGCCCTCCTTTTTACATCTGCCTGTTTGAAAGGGTAGCTTTCTTGATACAAAGAGCATCCCTAACAGTCTTCAGCTCAGAACGATTTTATGTCACAGTGTCTTGACCTTTCCCTGGGAAAAATATTACCTAAAAAGGAAAAGAAATGTGGTTTCCTTCGGGGCTTTAAAGATTCCAGTGATCATTGTCAGCTAACTATCCTTTCTGCTTAATGCGTTGTCAGGTTCCACTTACAAGAGCCATGTATTTGGTGCATACCATATCTTATGTTCCAACCTGCAAGGTAAATTCCCCCCCTTTAACCTTTGTTGATCTCTTTTGCCCATGCAAAGGGTTTTACCATGTATATATTGAGTGCTTTTTTATACATAAAAATGTTTAGAGGTACTTTAATTTTCCTACTCATATTGAAATCTGCCCCTCAATGAGGCCAAACTTAGATTCATAAAATGTTTAGGGGTATGCGTACCCCTGCATACCCCCAGAAAAAAGCACTGTATATTTTCTATTTTACCTAAAATACTTCAGAGATTTACAGAAGTAATGGCTGAATTACCTTAGGCTTTGCCTTATAATTAATTTTTTAAAAATTTCTTTGCAGTTAGCAGTATTGCAGGTTTTTTTTATTTCTTTGCAGTTAGCAATATTGCAACACATTTGAAACAAGCAAAACAAACACAAAGTCATTCAACTTTCTACTAGCATATTTTACAGAAATATAGAGTAGATGTGTATGCAGAATCAATTTAGATCCACTTTTTAAAGATGCAGCTAAAAGCAAGCTACGCACACATAGCCATTTTTCAGCTGGGTAGGAAATAAATTCATGAAGCAGTTATTCATTTTTGTGATACTAAAACAGCATTAGTAGTAACTAATTATCACTATCACAACATTTATATAATTTGTTAATTGCTGTTCAGGTTCTCCCTTTCTCTCCAGTTGCCATGTCAGATAAACAAGAAGGTTGCAAACACCTACACATTTTGTATCATTTTAATTAATTTGCATTGCACTCTAGCAGCAGGAGTCTGCTCAATAAATGTTAGCAATGCTCTTTGAGGGATTGAGTAGGCTGATGTATCAAATAGGCTTTTTATTTCTTGTTTTAATGCTTGTAAGTCTACTGGACAGTAGACTTTACATAGAATAATCAGGTTCTGACATCAGGTTTGTGGCATCATGTTTACTTGGAGATAATTGGATAAGGATGAATATTTTTATTTTTTTTTAAGGTTTATCTCTAAATATACTCTAGCTGGGTTCATTCAACATATTTGGCCAATGAATAATATGTTTTGGGTTTTTTTTTTTAAAAAAATAATATTTATTACTTTTATAGATTACAAAGAGAAAAGAAAAACAGAAAAAAAGACAAAGAACAAAAGCAAAAAGAAAAAAACAATACAATACAATATATAAACAATGCAAAACACAACCTAAACTCAAAACTAAACACATTAAACTAAACTAAACAAACCCCACTCCCTAACCTTAACCCTAAATGAAACAAAACAAAAACGATTTAAAAACATACATCATCCCTTTTCCGTACTCTATCTTTCATTCCCTTATTTCCCCGACCTCCTCTCACCTCCCTTTTTGTATTCCACTTCTATTAATTGTTTCAGCAAATCCTTTCCATCTTTCTCCATTTTCTATCATATTGTAAATAACGTATTTTTTAACCTTATTTTCTATTAAAACTAAAATACTTATATATGCTTAACTCCTTATAACATTTTTGCTAAGCCCATAAAAAATCATTCCACCATTTTTCTATCACTCATTAGTTTTACCATAAGTCTATATATAAACTTTAAATTTTCCAATCTTCTTCCACCATCTCCTCTCCCTGGTTTCGGATTCTGCCAGTCCTTTCCGTCAACTCCATAAAGTCCATCAACCTGGTGATCTTATGTCCGAGGCTCTTAACTCTTTTCCAAGTCCCTTCTGCAGGTCTTCTTCATTTTCTTTAATGCTAAAGAGCAAATCTCGGGGAAACTCCAACCTGTCAATCCTTGTCTTCCTTCTGAACAGATCAGCCAAATTTCCATAGTTAAAGCTACAGTCCGTAAAGTATTTCAGGGCATATTTCAAGGTTCCTCCAAGTCCAAAGGCCCCCAAAACTTCAATCTCCTCCAGGCCCGAGTCCATATCCCAAAAGTCAGTTAATCCCTGCATAGAGGGATCTTTCCAACTTTCCTTCTTTAGTCCAAGCCAGGATCCATTCCTCAGAGTCTGACTTTTCCTAGATTCAATCATAAAAGGCCTCAACTTATAGTCCTCAATTTGCTTCTGTAAAGCCACGAATCTCACTTGTATTACTTTATATTCAATAACAGCAGCATTCTCCTTCTCCTCCTCCTCCTCCAACATTTGTCCTGCCAAAATGGATTCCTGTACCAAGTCCTGAATTATTTCTGTGTTAGTGTTCGCTTTTTGACTCAAATTAGTCACTTTCTGTTCCAAATTATCAACTTTAAAAGTCATGTCATCCATCTTCTTGTGAAGCTGTCCCAGCGAACAGCTTATCTTACATAAAACAGTCACAATGGCCTCTCCTGTCAACATTTTTAAATGGTCCAAGGTCACTCTCTGGTTCTCAGAATCCTTATCTGCAGCTGGAAATCCCCCAGTTACAGTAACAGTTTCAAAAGCTCCCTCTAGAGGGAAACAGTCTCCACTTGTATCAGTTCTTTCAGGCACAACTCAAGCATTAAAGATAAATTTTCAGTTACTTTTCGTCTTTTTTAAACGCAGAGGAGGACAATGGAAACAGTATCTTACTCTTATTTAGCTAGCTGTCAAATCCGTTCTATCAAATGCACTCTCTCCAAACGTCATCTGGCAGCCCGTTCCCAGGTTCAGAGCAGTGGTAATTTGATTTTTCACTCTCTCCTGCAGGCTCACTAGATCCAAAATTTCCCCCTCTTCTCCTGCTTCCAAGGGGGGTTTTGTATTTTAAACCGATGGAAATTTAATCCTTTGCCAAAAGCTTTCAAAGACTTTAACTTGTAACGTCTTTGCTTCAGTCTATTTACAAAAACGGAAGGCGGACTTCCTGTTTATGACCTTCCCGCTTCAGTGCCAAATTAAGGTATTTAAAAATCCAATTTTCCATTTTACTCACGGGTAGTTGTTTAAAATCTAATTGCCCACAGGAAAAAGTCAGCGCTCTCCGGCAACAGCAATGCAGCTTCACTCCGTGAAAGAAGCAGTCGATTCAAAGCACCGCACCACTCACCCCACGTCTCTCCGGATCCCCAAAACAGGGTTTCCCCGCGAGTAGGGGAGGCACAAAAGGTGCCAGCCGAATCCCAGGTTCACAAGCTTCTCCCGCTTGTGATTTCAATGGGTCTCCACCTTCGCCGTGGTGGTCAGACCCTGTTTTTCACGGAGCAAGTTCCTCCCGAATGGAGGAGCTCCGCCATTGCCGGAGGCGCCAACCCGGAAGTCTCCCAATGAATAATATGTTTGTTCCCTGATCTATATTCCATCTGGTATTACTGCAGGCTAAGCTGTTAAATTTCAGTTATCTGCTGAGGCTGTTTGTTAGAAGTGATTTTTGTTTTGTTTTACAGGATACAGAACTGCACACAACTAGCCACTGGTGTTTTGTTTTTAAAATATACTGCATATTTATGATGCACACCACACTGTTTAATCATCTGATATACTACTCTCAGTTTTAAGAAACAACCTGAACAGAATGTATTACCTTAGATTTTACCATATATTAATTTTGCATCCAGGACAACCCAAGAGAATGAAACATGCTCTGTTGTTAGTGCTGTCACCTGGCAGGAAACTCATTGACCCAATAATGTCCCCTGATGAATGGCATCGTCTAGCTGTCCCCAACCCAGGTCATTTCTTATGTTTTTAAAATTTCAACACAGCTCAGGTGGAGAGGTGGAGTGAGGAATTATATACACTCTACTTACTAAGCTCCAACCTATCCCTTTCTTCTTGCCACCATTTTGGGGATGTTCAGTAAAGCATTGTATGTACACCATGCACCCTTGTCTGTCCAACCTTTCTTCCACACAGAAAAAGTACAAATCAGAACTACAGGAGTATCCATTTTCTCCTTTGTATGTCTAGATGTGTTCCTTCTTTTGTCTTTGAGGCAAGACCAGTGCTTCCATGAATTGAGGTGAAGCAATGGGTATAGCAAAATAGGATTATGAGTCACTTACACAACAGTCAGTCTTATGCATGGCTGGTAAAGATATCTGCAGGCAATCAGTAAGTTTTTATTTACAACAAATCTAATGTTAAAGTTTACAGTTCCATTTATTTCTCTGGGGTGTTTAGCCATTTGGCATGTGCGCAGAAACAGTTTGTATGAGTTCCTATCTGAGGGTATGTTAGATATCTCTGAGTGTGCTCTGTATGGCCACTTACCTTGAACAGAAGCTCAAAGTGAGTAGGACGAAAAGCAGGAAGTCAACAGCTTTCTTTTTCTTAAGAGGAATTGAGAAGTAATAACTGTTCTCTTGGATGTCTACCTTCAATTTCATTACATCTTGCAAAGGCACTTCAGAGAAAGAAAACCCCAGGGTGTTGTGCCCAGGTTTTTAAAGTGAAAAAACATGACGTTTGTTAACAGCATCATTTTTTCCTTTCATGTTAAAAGGTTTAAACAAAGTGTTGGTGAATGTTGGAGCGAAGTGAAATGTGAACTACTATACTGTAAGCTTTTATACTAGGTTATGTTTTCCCCTACAACCATTTATTTTTCCTTAGCGCTCTCCACTCTATTTGTTGCAGTCCTCTTCAGTTGCCTATGGGTATTGTGGATTGTTGTTTTAAGAATTAGAAAAGGCCACGTTGGCTTATAGAAATAACCCTTAAGGAAGGGTAATGGAAAAGACAGGGTTGGCCCTTTTCATTACAATAATGACACTTGATTTCAAGGTTGTCATGAACTGACATGTGGCTTTGCATTTCACATAGCACCTGCTCATTGTGACCAGAAGGCTTTAATTTAACATGACATTGTGCCCAATGTGGAGGCAGGGAGAGGAAAGAAAATACAGGGCAAATATGCGGCTGAGGAAGAACTCAAGATGCATGATGATCCAGAAGGTGGGGAAAACATAATCATGGTGGGACAACCACATTCTTTTACTTATAGATGTGTAAAAATTATGAAGATATAAATATATTTTCATCCTGTAGTAATAATGATATCATTATTTTAAAATAGTTTAAGTACAAAAATTATATCATATGTTGCATTTTATAGAACAAGAAGATATGTCATTTAATGCTGGAGGGCTGTGCGTCTGGGCCTGTCTCTGAGGTTATGCAGTTCCCAGCTCCATTCTCAACATTCTTGCTTTAGATGTGAATGTCTGAGCCAAAAAAAAGCCCATGCATGTAAGTTTCATTGAAAGCTGGAAACCTGATTTAGTGTTCTTCATATATTGGCCTCCGAGATTAGACACCCATGCTCAATGTGTGGATGTCAGGGATGGGCCCAGGGAGGCATGTGGTCCCATTCAGCACATGGACACCCCCTTGATGAAGTTAATGCGTGAAGGGATCCACATTCTGGCTATAATTAATTAATTAATTACGGTTGCCATACGTCCAGATTTTCCCAGACACGTTCTCCTTTTTGGAGGTAAAATAGGGGTCTGGGAGGATTTTTTTAACTTGGCAAAATGTCTGGGTTTTTTTGTTTGGTAACAGGCAAACGGTGGGAACATCAGGGCACCTTTGCGCGGCTCAGCTGGGGAGTGGGATGGTTCCCAATCCCCAGCTGAACCAGCTCCGGTGCTCCCCCAGCTCCCCCTGGTGCTCCCCCTGCTGTCCTCTCCCCCTCCCTTCCAAGTATGGCAACCCTAGTATAACACCCTTCACCATAGATCTCAGGGTGGCTCACAGCATAAGAATACAAGTTTTTTTGAGTTGAGAATAAAGACTAAAGTAGCACAGGGACGTCACAAAAAGAGATAGTAAGCCATAAATGTGACATTTCAAACAATTGTTTTTTTTGTACACAGTTGTAGCACAAAAGCATTATAATGTGATATGTCTCTTACATTAAAAAATGCAGCTGGAAAAACACTTTAGTGCTTTTTTAAAAAAAAATGGGGTATAAAATATTGCTCATCACAAAGGTTATATGACTGTGTCACTGCCAATGACACCCAACCTTTTAAAAAAGATAGAAGAGTAGTGCTAAAGGCTTCTGTAGCTGTGGAGGTTCTACTACCCTTCCATTCTTCTAACAAAAATAGTTAGAAAAAACACAGGGAAAATACAGGATGAGAATGATGGCATGATAGCCTCACATGGGTGCTCAGTAAAAAGCGAGTGAATGAAAAATGCCT